CCTCAGCCCATTCAATACCCAGTCCTATCGGAGGTATATTACCACCTCCTGAATGCCACCTACACCAGTCGGTTAATACCCAGGTACCTACTTACTGCTAGGTGAACAGGGACAGCAGGTGTACAGAAACACTCTCAATGTCTTGTGAATGTTTCAATATTTCTGATATTGTAAACACCACAAGAGTGTGCGAATGAAGACTTTGATCATTGCTACTAGGCTGAGGGACTGATTATCTCATCTACCACCGTCTTCTGTAAATAATTCTGCAAGGACGAGGGACTAATTACCTTTTCTACATTCTTCTCTTGTTGTTAGCTAAAAGGAGATAAGTACAACTGAGACATTTTATCGTGGCAACGTTTCGCTCTCCAGGAGCCGTTAGTCGCATTACAATTCTTCTGTTTCTGTACCGTGCTGATGAAGCCACTGGATGGCGAAACGTCTACAAATAAAGATACCCACATGTTTTAAAAGTGTCTAATTTATTATCTTAATAACACACCACACTGTTTGTTTAGTTTAATACGTTTATTATGCACCCCATACCCATCCTGTGGGCGGTAGTCAAAAGATTACAGAGGTACATAATTGGTCCAGGGACTGGACTCCAAAGTTTTGATAACTGAGCAAGTTACAGAGGTAATGAACTCACAATTTACAAAGGTAATGACACTCAGTTTTTTCAAGATGGTCTTCAAAGTTCGTTTAGCCTCTAAGTAGCACTATGTAACTTTAACCATTCTCAGACACCTCAAAAAAATAAAATCTATAATATTTCAATTATTATATCATAGCACAGTATATTATGCTGCTGTTTGTAGCCAGACTTGAGTCCTGGAGGTGGGTAATACAATTCCTGCACTCTGAAGGAGGGGTGAGGGATGTAGCAGCCAGGTAGGACGTCTGAACTCTGGTGTCTACACACTTTTGGTAAGACAGTGATTGAATGAATAACAGTGAATGTGATTCCTCTATTTTCGGTCACTCTACCCTTGTGGGAGACGGCCGTACCAGTCATTCCATGCTGCTAATAGACGGAGGATCTAGTCTAGATCACCCCTCGCGCTATATAATCCACACGGGTTTAGTGTTCAGTAACTACAATAATAATACAGACGCCTAGTAGCAATAGACGAACAGAAACTCAGTCTTAACTAAAGTATAAAACTATTTCCTTTCTTCACGTGTTGTATCTAAATATTTGATGAGAGGCAGTGCTGTTGTCCTCGATAACGTCTTATACGTATGATTAAGTTGTCGTAAATACACGCTTCCCAAGTGATTTATTCCGACATTACTGGAAACCCAGTCTCACTCAGTATTCATTGATGCACCCACACACCGTGTCACTCTCCGATGTACACACACCCACACATCGTGTGTCACTCCGATGTACACACACCGTGTGTCACTCTCCGATGTACACACACCCACACACCGTGTCACTCTCCGATGTACACACACCCACACATCGTGTGTCACTCCGATGTACACACACCGTGTGTCACTCTCCGATGTACACACACCCACACCGTGTCACTCTCCGATGTACACACACCCACACCGTGTGTCACTCCGATGTACACACACCCACACATCGTGTGTCACTCCGATGTACACACACACCGTGTGTCACTCTCCGATGTACACACACCGTGTGTGACTCCGATGTACACACACACACCGTGTGTTACTCCAATGTATACACACACACACACACACCGTGTATCATCACACACCGTGTCACTCTGATGTACACACACACACTATGCTAACACACATTCACGCACCAGCCTAACACATGTATAAGTTAACACACTCAGGCAACAGTCTATCACATGTATAAGTTAACACACACACTAACTCACCAGTCTAACACATGTATAAGTAAACACACACACTAACGCACCAGTCTAACACATGTATAAGTTAACACACTCACGCACCAGTCTAACACATGTATAAGCTAACACACACACACACACTAACGCACCAGCCTAACACATGTATAAGTTAACACACTCACTCAACAGTCTAACACATGTATAAGTTAACACATTCACGAACCAGTCTAACACATGTATAAGCTAACACATACACAAACTAACTCACCAGCCTAACACATGTATACGCTAACACTAACTCACCAGTCTAACACATGTATAAGCTAACACACTAACGCACCAGCCTAACACATGTATAAGTTAGCACACTAACGCACCAGCCTAACACATGTATAAGTTAGCACACTAACGCACCAGCCTAACACATGTATAAGTAACACTAACGACCAGCTAACAATGTATAAGTTACACACTACGCACCAGTCTAACACATGTAAAGTTAACACATCACGCACCAGTCTAACACATGTAAAGTTAACACTACGCACCAGTCTAACACATGTACGAGTTAACACACTAACGCACCAGTCTAACACATGTATAAGTTAACACACTAACGCACCAGTCTAACACATGTATAAGTTAACACATTCACGCACCAGTCTAACACATGTACAAGTTAACACACTCACGCACCAGTCTAACACATGTATAAGTTAACACATTCACGCACCAGTCTAACACATGTATAAGTTAACACACTCACGCACCAGTCTAACACAGGTATAAGTTAACACTCACGCACCAGTCTAACACAGGTATAAGTTAACACACTCACGCACCAGTCTAACACAGGTATAAGTTAACACTCACGCACCAGTCTAACACAGGTATAAGTTAACACACTCACGCACCAGTCTAACACAGGTATAAGTTAACACACGCACCAGTCTAACACAGGTAAAAGTTAACACACTCACGCACCAGTCTAACACAGGTATAAGTTAACACTCACGCACCAATCTAACACAGGTATAAGTTAACACTCACGCACCAGTCTAACACAGGTATAAGTTAACACACTCACGCACCAGTCTAACACAGGTACAAGTTAACACATTCACGCACCAGTCTAACACATGTACAAGTTAACACACTCACGCACCAGTCTAACACAGGTATAAGTTAACACACTCACGCACCAGTCTAACACAGGTATAAGTTAACACACTCACGCACCAGTCTAACACAGGTATAAGTTAACACACGCACCAGTCTAACACAGGTATAAGTTAACACACTCACGCACCAGTCTAACACAGGTATAAGTTAACACACTCACGCACCAGTCTAACACAGGTATAAGTTAACACACGCACCAGTGCTAATGAAAATATCACAAACATGAATCAGATGTCACTAACATGCATCAATCATGTCAAACATTTACCAAAATGTCACAAACATCTACCAATCATGTCTAACAGCTACCACTCATGTCTTAAACAGTTACAAATATTGTTTTAAAGTTACTAATCGCCCCTCAAAACATGTATTAAACGTGACAAACATCCGCCAAATATGTTACGCTCATAGCTTAAAACATGTCACAATGTTGCCTTACATATATCATAAACATCAATGAATTTATAAACACAACACAAACACCTGACAGTTGTCACTAACACATCACAAACATCAGACAGTTGTTAACACATCACAAACATCTGTCAATTGTCACTAACACATCATAAACATCTGCCAGTTGTCACTAACACATCACAAACATCTACCAGTTGTCACTAACACATCATAAACATCTGCCAGTTGTCACTAATACATCACAAACATCTGCCAGTTGTTATTAATACATCACAAACATCTGCCAGTTGTCATTAACACATCACAAACATCTGCCAGTTGTCACTACCACATCATAAACATCTGCCAGTTGTCATTAACACATCATAAACATCTGCCAGTTGTCATTAACACAACACAAACATCTGCCAGTTGTCGTTACACATCACAAACATCTGCCAATTGTCATTAACACATCACAAACATCTGCCAGTTGTCGTTACACATCACAAACATCTGCCAATTGTCATTAACACATCACAAACATCTGCCAGTTGTCGTTACACATCACAAACATCTGCCAATTGTCATTAACACATCACAAACATCTGCCAGTTGTCGTTACACATCACAAACATCTGCCAGTTGTCGTTACACATCACAAACATCTGCCAGTTGTCATTAACACATCACAAACATCTGCCAGTTGTCATTAACACATCACAAACATCTGCCAGTTGTCGTTACACATCACAAACATCTGCCAGTTGTCATTAACACATCACAAACATCTGCCAGTTGTCATTAACACATCACAAACATCTGCCAGTTGTCATTAACACATCACAAACATCTGCCAGTTGTCATTAACACATCACAAACATCTGCCAGTTGTCATTAACACATCACAAACATCTGCCGGGTTGCCATTAACACATCACAAACATCTTCAGTTATCGTTACACATCACAAACATCTGCCAGTTGTCATTAACACATCACAAACATCTGCCAGTTGTCATTAACACATCACAAACATCTGCCAGTTGTCATTAACACATCACAAACATCTGCCAGTTGTCATTAACACATCACAAACATCTGCCAGTTGCCATTAACACATCACAAACATCTGTCAGTTATCGTTACACATCACAAACATCTGCCAGTTGTCATTAACACATCACAAACATCTGCCAGTTGCCATTAACACATCACAAACATCTGTCAGTTATCGTTACACATCACAAACATCTGCCAGTTGTCATTAACACATCACAAACATCTGCCAGTTGTCACTACCACATCACAAACATCTGCCAGTTGTCATTAACACATCACAAACATCTGTCTGTTGTAAACACATCACAAGTATATCAGAAATATATTTCAGATATTTTACCTTCGCGAGAGATGAACACAAAAACCAGCTCAAACAACTTGCACTTAAGAGAGAGGAAAAAAAAAAAATCAATTTGAGCATACTCGATTATCTTTCACTTATTTTTCCGCCGACACACGCCAAGTTGCTTAAAAATATAGTATAAATGAGGTATAATTCGTGGGAACTTACCTTGATACAGTGTTGTGGAGGTGGAATGGAGTAAGAGCAGCAGGGGCATTAACATCTATCCATTAGCCTTCATAACACCTTACACAAGTCACTACTGAAGGAGGGAGAGCTCCTCCTCCTCCTGGTATGGGAAAGGCTTGAGGAGTGAGGCTTAGCTAAGCTGGATAAGCTTAGCTTAAGTCTGAGGGGACACGCGTACACTGGGTGGCTTAGTGTGTGACGAAGGAGGTTATAGTCACAACCGGTTCACGATGGCACCCGCGGCTTACTGAGGGAGAATTAGTCATAGGCTCTCTAGTGCGTAGTAGCACCACGTGAAAATAGATGCTAGGCTGCAGAAGCCGGTTGCAGGTTGTTGCAGGAGGTTATCAGTGGTCAACATGACCTGTGGTGGGGCTAGCATACGCTGCCTCAGGTCAGCCACAGAGTTCAGCCAAACCTCTCACAGACTAAGTCCAAGAGAAGAGAGCAAACTCGAGATTATTTTTTTCCGGGGAAAAAAGACTATGATTCAGAGATTTATGGTTGTTGGGGTTGTCGGGGAGGTGGTAGCCCCAGTCGGCGGCAGCCTCGGGGGGATAACTGGCATAGAGGGATATTTATTATATGTTGTTTGAGGCTGGTGTGAGTGTTGCAGGAGATGTGGAGTGAGGCAGTGTTCGCGGCGAGGGCGGCCACGGCAGTGTGCTGCCTCCCACCACCACACTACTAATACTTACACTCACTCCCGCCGCTCTCCCTGCACCACCACAGTATCCCCAGCAGGAAGCAACAGCCACAACCACCTCTCCGCCAGCAGCACCTAAAGCCTCACAAGCCTGTGGCTTCCTCGGTGCTCAGCGCCTCTCTCACTAGCGCTGCCAAACACCACTTGGCCAGGAGGAGCATTGCTCGGGCAAGCAACCTGGCCGACCTTCATTCCCACCCTTCTGCCACCCTGCCCGTAGACCCGACCTGTAATACCATGCCCCACAGGGGTACGTCCCTCTGCCCACCGGGCTATTGATCAAGCGTTTCCATGGTAACATTGATCTGCCCAGTGATTCCATCTTCTCAATCGGCGCATAAGAACTGTGCAACAAACCAACCAACTTATTGATCACCCAGGATTCAGACGCCAACATTAACCCCTTGTAGAGTTGCAACCCCTTTTCTCCCAACTGGCAGCTCAATTCACAGCTTATTAGCATGGCCAGGGGAGAAATGTTCAGTGCTAGGCTTGGCCCATTGCTTGGCCCCGGGGAGAACAATGGCTCCCCGCCAGCCATCACACTACTCTCTCCCAAACACACTCACAGGGGCGCCAGGTTTGTGTCTGTTGCCCGGGATCACCGCCTCCTGCCCGCCCCAGCCTCTCTTCTGGGGGTAGAGCAACAGTATTTAAGGACATAGTGCCCTAGCTTGCCTCTCTAAGAGGGAGGGAGAGATTTGTCCAAGGCTACAGTGAAGGAGGGGCAGGAATATATAGCTTTTTGCTCTCTTTACGTATGTCTCTCTCTTTCTCTCTCTCTCTCTCTCTCTCTCTCTCTTCTCTCTCTCTCTCTCTCTCTCTCTCTCTCTCTCTCTCCTCTCTCTCTCTCTCTCTCTCTCTCTCTCTCTCTTCTCTCTCTCTCTCTCTCTCTCTTCTCTCCTTTCCTCTCTCCTCTCTCTCTCTCTCTCTGCTCCACTCTCTCTCCTCACTCTCTCATCATCTCGCTTCGCCCCACATGCTCCCACACCCAGTCTCGCTCACACCCACAGTCTCGCTCACACCCACAGTCTCGCTCACACCCACAGTCTCGCTCACACCCACAGTCTCGCTCACACCCACAGTCTCGCTCACACCCACAGTCTCGCTCTCACCCACAGTCTCGCTCACACCCACAGTCTCGCTCACACCCACAGTCTCGCTCACACCCACAGTCTCGCTCACACCCACAGTCTCGCTCACACCCACAGTCTCGCTCACACCCACAGTCTCGCTCACACCCACAGTCTCGCTCACCACCCACAGTCTCGCTCGCACCCACAGTCTCGCTCACACCCACAGTCTCGTTCACACCCACAGTCTCGCTCACACCCACAGTTTCGCTCACACCCACAGTTTCGCTCACACCCACAGTCTCGCTCGCACCCACAGTTTCGTCCACACCCACAGTCTCGCTCACACCCACAGTCTCGCTCGCACCCACAGTTCGCTCACACCCACACTCACTCTCAACCCATAACTCACGCATCACACCCACTCTCGCTCACCCACATTTCGCTCCACCCCACATCCTCACACCCACAGTCTCGCTCCACCCACAGTTCGCTCTCACACCTCACCAGTCTCGCTCACACCCACAGTCTCGCTCGCACCCACATTCGCTCACACCCACACTCACTCTCAACCCAAAACCCGCATTCACGCCCACACTCGTCCCTCAACCCTACTCCACCCCACACAACTCTACACACACAACGCTCTCACACACTCACAACACACCTTCAACTCTCACCCTTCATCCACCTCTACACACGCTCTCAACACTCACACCCCACACAGCAGCTTCACAGCGCTCACCCACAAAACACCACACACGCTCTCACACTCATCCCAACGACCTCACCCTCACTCATAGCAAGCAGAATATTAACACACGACTAATCTGGTCGTATCCCCAGCCAAATCAACTTAAGGCATGAAGCTGCCATTATTCTAAGTAACCGTTTTACGAAATTAGACCTGACAAGAATAAGGAACGAACACAAGCGCAGTTACAGAGCATCAATGAACCATGGTTATGAAGATGACTTGATGAAACATAAATAAATTCTTAATCCCCACGCAAATAAATAGTGGACTAGTATGAAGCTGCCGTTTATCAAGGGAGCGTTTAAATGTGAACGCTCTATATTTTTTCCATGACACCTCGTTGCAGACTATACATCGATTTTTACCTCAACTCTGCCTTTTTTGTGTTAAATAACTTTGTATAGCTTACACGACTAATATAACTTAGTCGAAAGACGTAAATCTCTCAGTGTATATAGACTGAGAACTGTATATTTCAGTGTATATAGACTGAGAACTATATATTTCAGTGTATATAGACTGAGAACTGTATATATTTCAGTGTATATTACCTGGAGTTTACCTGGAGAGAGTTCCGGGGGTCAACGCCCCCGCGGCCCGGTCTATGACCAGGCCTCCTGGTGGATCAGAGCCTGATCAACTAGGCTGTTGCTGCTGGCTGCACGCAAACCAACGTACGAGCCACAGCCCGGCTGATCAGGAACTGATATAGACTGAGAACTGTATATATTTCAGTGTAAATAGACTGAGAACTATATCTCTCAGTGTATATAGGCTGAGAGTTCACTTTAAGCCTTTATTTAGATATTAAAGTATTCTTGAGCGGCCTTAATGACCCTGGTGCAGTAGATAGGCTTTAAACCCACTTAACATTAATATTCAGAGAGTATGTAGAGATGTGAGGTTTTCTAAATGATACATAACGGTATGATAAAACTGGCAAGGAGAGCCCTTGGTCCAGGACCGACCGAAATATAGTGGTCCAGGACCGACCGAAGTATAGTGGTCCAGGACCGACCGAAATATAGTGGTCCAGTACTGAGGGAAATATAGTGGTCCAGGACCGAGGGAAATATAGTGGTCCAGGACTGAGGGAAATATAGTGGTCCAGGACCGACCGAAATATAGTGGTCCAGGACCGAGGGAAATATAGTGGTCCAGTACTGAGGGAAATATAGTGGTCCAGGACCGACCGAAATATAGTGGTCCAGGACCGAGGGAAATATAGTGGTCCAGTACTGAGGGAAATATAGTGGTCCAGGACCGAGGGAAATATAGTGGTCCAGGACTGAGGGAAATATAGTGGTCCAGGACCGAGGGAAATATAGTGGTCCAGGACCGAGGGAAATATAGTGGTCCAGGACCGAGGGTAATATAGTGGTCCAGGACTGAGGGAAATATAGTGGTCCAGGACCGAGGGAAATATAGTGGTCCAGGACTGAGGGAAATACAGTGGTCCAGGACCGAAGGAAATATAGTGGTCCAGGACCGAGGGTAATATAGTGGTCCAGGACCGAGGGAAATATAGTGGTCCAGGACCGAGGGAAATATAGTGGTCCAGGACCGAGGGTAATATAGTGGTCCAGGACCGAGGGAAATATAGTGGTCCAGGACCGAGGGCAATATAGTGATCCAGGACCGAAGGTAATATAGTGGTCCAGGACCGAGGGAAATATAGTGGTCCAGGACCGAGGGAAATATAGTGGTCCAGGACCGAGGGGAATATAGTGGTCCATGACCGAGGGAAATATAGTGGTCCAGGACTGAGTGAAATATAGTGGTCCAGGACCGAGGGAAATATAGTGGTCCAGGACCGAGGGAAATATAGTGGTCCAGGACGAGGGAAATATAGTGGTCCAGGACTGAGTGAAATATAGTGGTCCAGGACCGAGGGAAATATAGTGGTCCAGGACGAGGGAAATATAGTGGTCCAGGACTGAGGGAAATATAGTGGTCCAGGACGAGGGAAATATAGTGGTCCAGGACCGAGGGAAATATAGTGGTCCAGGACCGAGGGAAATATAGTGGTCCAGGACTGAGGGAAATATAGTGGTCCAGGACCGAGGGAAATATAGTGGTCCAGGACGAGGGAAATATAGTGGTCCGAACCGAGGGAAATACAGTGGTCCAGGACCGAGGGAAACTCGGTACTTAGCCTGCTCTCCTGTTTAAGGGTTAGTTGTAAATTGTTCCAGTCAAGGTATGTTAATTTTATTGAAAGAACAATAGATCATTCACTATGTATAATAACGTATGTAAGAAGAGAGGAAAGAGTAACGCGAGCGTAAAGCCTGGTACTCGGTGTTCCAGGAGTCCGTGAATCATAACTGAAGTACCCGGGTTCGATCCTGGGGCGGGTGGAGACGTTGGGCATGTTTCCTTACAACTGTTGCACCTGTTCAACTAGCGGTTAGTAGGTACCTGTGTGTTAGCCTCCTTACATCTGTTGCACCTGTTCATCTAGCGGTTAGTAGGTACCTGTGTGTTAGCTCCTTACATCTGTTGCACCTGTTCATCTAGCGGTTAGTAGGTACCTGTGTGTTAGCCTCCTTACATCTGTTGCACCTGTTCACCTAGCGGTTAGTAGGTACCTGTGTGTTAGCCTCCTTACATCTGTTATCCCTGTTCACCTAGAAGTAAGTAGGTACTTCGGTGTTAGTCGCCTTACACCTGCTGTCCCTGTTCACCTAACAGTAAGTAGGTACCTGGATGTTAGCAGACTATTGCCGGTGACATCCTGGGGTAGAGGATCGAAAGACCGCAGTGTAGATAAGCCACATATCTTGGGTTATCTTGGGTTATCCCGAGTCACTAACAATCCTGGGTTAATAATCCCAATTAGTCTTATTTTATTGATGGGATACAACACCGTGAAGTTGAATAAGAAACATGTGTAACACCTGCGTATCTTTATTGTTAATAAAAATATCGAGGTGTCTTATTGGTCAAGTATAAATAACGTCTATTCCGTTAAAATCAAAATCAAACCTTTGCCAATTAAGACAAGGGTTGAGAACAAGGCAGTAAGAATGAAGGAGGAAGAAACACTCACAGAATATGATAGAGGTACGTGATAGAGGGGCACTCAGAAGATGACAGTGGTACGTGATAGAGGAGCACTCAGATGATGACAGTGGTACGTGATAGAGGAGCACTCAGAAGATGACAGTGGTACGTGAGGGAAGAACACTCACAGAGAATGATAGAGGTACGTGATAAATTAAACAAGAATCAAAGCTGTATTCCCTGATGTAC